GGCGGCTTACTGAGTGGTGGGCAACTATACGGCGGACTTAGGACCTAGACCACTGTGTGCGCGTCTCTTGCCTGTGTCGTTCAAGAGTGTGGATCCTTTTCTTGGTCCTTTCTTTTTTTCTCTGTGCTTTTTGTTTTTCTTTTCCCACTTTTCTTTTTGAGGCCAGGACACTGAGTGTGTTCCCCCGTTGCAAAGGGGCCGGCCGCCATCACATCATCATCATCATCATCATCATCATCATCATCATCGTATCGTACACGTCACCGCTACTAGGGAATCGTCACTCAGGATGGTATTTGTGGAATGTATCACACCGAACACGTAGCACTAGTGTCGATGTCGCAGGGCAGTCTATTTTTCGTTTTTTCTCCTTAGCTTTTTTACGCTATTTGACATCGAATTAAAATAACTTCCACGCGACGAATGCCGTTCAAATTTGGCCAAGAAGACCTATGCATACCAAGCGATCGAATGATGGGCACATCTCGATCTTGAAACTTGATGTTAGTGCTCCTTTAAGGTGAAAATATGGGACAACACGGCCAGTTACGGACCGCGCCGCTAGCGGGTCGCGTGTTTGAGACCTCTAAGCTAGATTAAACACCACGCTTCTTCGTCGTTAGCGACTTTTACCTCGAAACAGATCAGATCTCTAACTTGGTCAACTGGAACACACGTGTTGGCGCGTAGGCAGAAATTTTTTTCAAGGGGGGGGGGGGGGGGGGGCTTGACTTCGGGGAGGGCAACCCCTTGACAAGGTCATTTTTCACTCTCAATGTCATGTTGAAAAAACATAGCGGGGGGAGGGGCTATGTGCCACCCCCTGGCTACGCTAAAGAAGTTTTAGGGGCTTTAGGCTAGGCCCCTCCCCACGTGCAATAACGCCACCCCCCCCCTACACACACACCAATTGGGGTCAACGTATGGGGGAAACCTTGGCACCTCCCTCTTAGGTGGCTATGTGTGTGTGTGGGTGGGGGGGGGCACACACCCCCTGTAGCTGATGCACACCAACCAGACTTCGAGAAAGATACCTGTATCTATTTTCATTACTTAGTAATGACAGTGACTACAATTTTGCGACTGCTGCAACATTCACTGGTTGGTTTGGTTATAACCTCCCAGACCCATGACAGCAGTTAAATATAGGCACAGCCATTGTATAGTTGAATGACATAATTTGAAATGGCACTTGCAACGAAAGGTCCTCTACGACAAATCGGGCGAACTACATCTTGTTTGATTTACTAATTTAAAGAATACCTCCACGCTTCGGGGGCCTAGGGCAGTTTTAGGCGGAGTATATCAAGCCTGCTTCAACTGCGCCGCGTACGAAAAATACAGGGGAGCCTTCCAATATATACGGCTTCACTGCAAAAAATGCAATTCACAACTTTCACCGCTTACAGAGGGCGCTGGTGCAAACCCAACATGGCTGTCGTTTGGGGGATCGTGCAGCCAGCGCGCCGGCAGTCGCCCCCGGTGTGCCCGTCACTTCGACCTTTAGTATTTTCGGCTGCAGCCACCGTGTTATCAAGGCTTTGCTGAGAAGGTCATTGACTCTAGCATGGATTATATCCCGCACTGCGTGTTGAGAAACGCGTGTGTGGCGTATATTGAAGGAAAAGAAGTTTCGAACGCCGGGCACATCGTCTGCTGCAGTGTACAGCTTTGTGAACGCTGCTCGTGCCACGCCTGGGAAAGACCAAGCGGCCGTGCTCGTGCAAAGCAGGAAACCTCGGCTTCGACTGCACGGCGTCTGCACAGCGGCATCCAACATATTTTGTGATTCTTCTAGCTCAGCAAGCAAACAATAAAGATCAAATCATTGCGACTACGACTCGCAGTAACTGTCCGACTTCACAATAACTGTAGTAGAAATGGCCAGCGACAAAATATAAAGCACCAGCGAGCCGCCAAAGTGAGGCCGACTGAACGATGGCATGGGCTGACTGCGCGGGCATCCCCCAAACGAGAGTTATGACGGATGCCGCATGGCGACGCCACCATCTGTGAAAGTTGCGAATGGAGTCTGATCATACCGATTCTTGACGCAGCCAAGCAATGCTAATCGCCAAGGGCTGTAAAGGCGGGTAACCTTAAAGGGACACTATAGTCCAATAACAGTTTACGCCAGAGTGAAAGCTCATTGTATAACACCGTCTAAAACGACATTGTTATCAAGAGCGGTGCCCTGCTTTCCGAGAAATTAAGCTAAATGCACAAGAATACATGCGCCGCAGTAGGACATTCTCAAAACGATTCTGATGACGTCAGACGAACCACCTAGAATTATTCACTAGTAATCGAACTAGCTGCACTAAATAAAGAACCTTCCGTCATCAAGAGACGTAGTAAAACGCTGCTTGTTCGTTTCTGTTTTACTCATGGAAAAAAGAACCGACGGACGTTACTATGGCGAATGGCGCGAGTGGTTCAAAAATTTCATTTTTGCGTGGTTAAACTGGACAGGTAGTGCCATCTAGCGAAGCCCAGTTAAACCAAACACGTCTGCATATGACTGGGCTAGACTGCACCTGCACGCGCTCCTAAGCAAGCGCCGTGGCCTGCAATTTTCAAGGCCATTGCTAAAAATTGTTCAATGGCCGTTGTCGCTGCTTAGGCTCCAGCTACTTTTTTCTTTTTATTAAAGCCGGGTAACGTTGTGCACGGCAACAGTGACGTCAGACGTTCCGTTGGGGTGGGTAATTTGAAGTGCGCTAACCCAATCTGGGCCACTGAAACGCAATATTATTTCAAAATAAGCCCTTCCTGGGCACAAAAGTAACAGCACGAGAAATTTCTGGACCGTTATTTTAACAATCAACGACAGCGTAATAGCTGCCTTTAGTGTTTCTTTGAAGGGCGCCTTTATGACTGCACACTGACTTTGGAAAGAGGCGATTGCCAGAGATGGATCCAACGCGCGAGCTTGAGACGCCAGATCAGACGAGCTCATCGCGGGCTCAACAGAGAACATAAAACCCTGACTGACCAACTACTGCCGACAAGGCCATCAACTAAAGCACAATGCGAGCACACCATAAGAAAAAAAGTGACTTTAGTTCGCCGTCAAGCGACAGCGAACTAAGGACGCCCTTGACTGAATTCCGTACGCGCGATGCAGTGAACGGTTGTGCAGCGTGAGCAGTCGTTTTTACTAGCAGACGCTGCCTCTCTCTTGCTGTCTTCCTAGGCCGGCACAAGACGCGAGCATGCGCAGTGGGGTTGTACGAAAGGGCAACGTTACACAGGCTAGTCATAAAGCTGCTTCGCATCTAATAAAAGAGAAATGTTAAAAACTACAACATAAGATACTTCGATAGATCCCAGCTCGTGATAGACAGCGGGGCCTCACTAAAGCTACTGCATATGCTACCTCAAGCTATAACAGTCTGTACGGATGGATATCTTGAGCCACAGCTGTAATCATCAGGGAAAGGGGCGTTCAGCCCCTTTCCCCTCCCCCATACAGGTTCTGAGCTACGTCACTGGTTGGTGGTCTTTTACAGCCGCCCGTTCCCACGTCGAATGGCGTCGTCGTCGGCGGCGTAATCGGTAGGCACGACTAAAAAAATTTGAAGAAAAAAGGAATCGAAAGGGATTAGAAGCCGGGGCCCTCAGCGTGGAGTTCGAGTATTAATCACGCTGGCGCTGAAAACTCGTTAGCGAAAACACCTTATACAGGGGTCATTGTCGGCCAAGGAATCGCGTCAACCTATGTAATATAGCGTGTTAGGAGAGTTAAATTCTAACCAGTCATTAGACAGCACTAACTGCGCAACGAGTGTGGTTCCTACCCAGTGCAAAGTGCTCAGCCATAGTTCTTGGTCATGCAGCCACGTGCAGTATTGATAATGTGCACATAATAATACCTTCCAGATGTGTAGCTACCTCGCTTATCCGCAGAAGGACGAATACTGGCGTAGTGGGTGCTGTGCCACTTTGCAGAAATTATGGTTTACGGCGTTGACACGTTACGGGAAGCCAAAACTTGCCATAGGCCTTGCTCAGAATCAGCATTAATAGGTGAATTTTATTCATCATCTCACTATCCACAGCAAGGCATGTTAACACAATTTGTAAGCTTTGTTCTTAGTCCTTGTATTATAATTTAAAGTGATTTGTTACATTGTCTTAGAAAGGCATTGCCATATACTATTTCGGGCCAGTTCTTCCAAATGCGCCAGCGTCCCTCCCTATTTTGTAGAACACGTGAAAAGCACTGCATTCGGAAGTCAGAGTACGCAACAAGAAAAAAAGGGCTATAATGAATGCTCGCGAAGAAACTTCTCCGAGGCTTCACGCTAGTTCCAACGCACGCGTTCAGATGACAAAAATGAAAAGAAGAAAACGAGAAGGGTTGAGAGGCGATGGTTGCAACAGCTGGTATGTCACTGGACAAAATGCACCAACTCGCGATGTGGTTTAAGTGCTGGCGCGTAAACAAGAGCATTTACACGCACATTCAGATCAAATCGGTGCGCCGAAAGATTGTTTCACTCAGTCCGTGCGAGAGCTTGATCTGTGGCGGCCCCTATCGGCGGTAACCGAAAGTAACAACTTTACAAGTCCGCTAAGCCTAAATAATAGCGGTCGTTGAAAGCAGCGAACTATTTTGGTCACACAACAATGTAGTTGCCCCGGCTTCTTTCGTGATCGCCGCCTGCACGGCTACAAGGGGCAAAAACAAATAACCGTTGTTATCACCGACGACTAAACGATTGCGCAGTCAAAGATACCGATGCAAACAACACTTAAGAGAACAAAGCCAGCAAACTGATTGACAGCTCGTAGAGAAACTGGTTTCAATGGAAGCCGCAGCATGACCATGTCACGTAGTGGCCCCCGAAAGAGAACACAACGCATAACGCAAGGCACTGACTGACGCGGTTATTTCGGGGTGTGTTGCTACCTCGTTCGCTCTTGGTTGAATGTTAACCAACTTGGTGCGCAGTCACGTGCGCACAGGCTAACTCAGCCTGGTGTATCGTACTCACCGTGACAGGCATGGCTGAACTCACGGGGTGTCTAGCCGGGTACATGACGGGTCAGCCTCGCATCCGAAGAGGCGTCCCCCCGCCGCTACGATTCCCGCCGTTGGCGCGTCGCCATAGCCGTATCCAACTGGCTAGTATCCTGCGCTACCTGGTACACCAACGAAGACACATCCCGCCGCACAAGAACCAGAGGACAAGGTGAGGAGATTCACCCGCGAGGCACCACTTCCCGGGTCGTCCTGGTCGGCGCAGTTGTTGGGAGCGCGCCGGCTTTCGTAAACGCGCGGTCTGCCGAACGGCGAAGAGCGATTGCGGAGCCCAGAGATTGGCTTAATCAACAAACATGACTGTTCCCAGGCGTCAGCTCGACCGCGCTGGCACCGCTTTAGAGCCGCTTTCCACGAGAAAACGTTGGGAGAAGCGCAGCCCCCTCATCCCCGAGTCTCCGGTCGCGGAACAGAGCGCGTGGGCGGGGCACCCACGTGGGTCTCCGGTCACCGACGCGCTCCGCCTCTCGTAGCCCCGTAGTGCGGCGCCTGACAGCCGAGCGTCAAAGTCACGCAGTCACCGACGCGCTCCGCCTCCACAAGCACCCGCCTCGCGGCGCTAATACGATTTCCATTTCAGCGCTGCCGCCGGAGAGCGGTGGCGCGAGACGCCCGAACAGAGGAGGGAGAGGCCGCCGATCAGCGCCCCAAGCAAGATAATTATACAGAGCTTGATGTTGCCTTTGATGAGCACTTGAGCGTGTAGTGTTGATGTTGAACAAATGTTCAGAACCTGGCCCCGAGAACCCTCCCGCCGCCGCCGCGGAGGAGCGCCTCCCCGCAGTGAGAGACCCCCCCTTTTATTTTTATCTTCTTCCAGCGCCGCATCGCGTGTTATGGAGGCGACGCGGACGGCATTTATTTATCCCTCGTAAAGCGGAAAGAGGGCGGCCCCTGCGTGCCGCCTCTCTCTTGATTATTTCGCTCTCCTTCGCGGCGTTTTGTTCTGCGGCTGCCGCTGCTGCTTCTGAGGAGTGAAATTGTTCCCGCGCCTGTTTAACTCGAGAGCGCTCCTCTCCCGCGCCTGGACGAGATCAATTAAACGCGCCCCCTCTTCTCGCCGCCACATCGGCGGGTGACCCGGCGTTTTTTTGTTTTCTTGCCGCGTGTCGCCGCTGCCTTTAGGCGTCCGCGGAGATCCGCCACGAGGATCCTCTCGATGCACTTGCCGTTACACCGGCGCTCTCAGCGTGAACAAACAGCCGCTCGCTTCTTCATTTCTTTTGTCCTCTCTCATCGTTTTGAACCTGTGTGACTGCATTGCCGCGATGCTATGCTGCGAGCGTGCGGCGGCCCAGTGGAAGACCTCTTCTGCTGATGACCGAGTCGTCAAAGCATCACAAGGACGCAGCGCTTGGAACGGTGCAGAACGAGCATTTCACGAATGTCCGCGAAATTCAGCCGTCTGCTTCGAAATTGACTTTTCCCCCACTTTCACCCTGTCATTTCAAGCGTATGTCCCACTTGCTTGTTTCCGTTACACACGCACATTTAATATTCCGTATATATCTTCTGGCTGTACTGTTTATATAGTCTCGCAAGAATGGGCGTTCACAAAGCCAAAGTCAGGCGCGTAGCCAGAAATTTTTTTCGAAGGGTGGGTACTACCTTGATTTCGGGAGGGGCACCCCCTCAAAATGGCCGTTTTTCGCCCACTATGCAATAACGAAATAACTTGGGGAGGGGGGGGGGGGCACGTGCCCGGTGTGTCACCCCCTGGCTACGCCCCTGCTTAAATACGTGTTGAATGGCGGGCACAACTAAACCTGAACTTAATTCCAGGCATCTCGCCGAGTTTTCGCCGATCACTTTAAATGCGGGCATCGACCGACTGAAACGACGTGATCGCGCTTTCATGATTCATCCTTCATTCATGATAACAAGGTTTGACCATCATTTCGGAGTAGAGCCTTTCGGGTTGTGCTGGCCACAGTTTATATTTATAATGTTGACCTTATGCACTGTGCAATAAAAGTACATTACGATGTAGAAAAAAAAAGACGGCGATGAAAGACAAACGCATGACACAAGCAGCGTTGTGTGTGTGTGTGCGTGCGTGTGTGTGTGCGTGTGCGTGCGTGCGTGTTTTTTGCCTCCTACATGTCCAGATGTGATCGTCGGATAGCAGCCGGATAAGGACTTGGCTATGGAAACTCCTGCATCTTTACTCATGTCTGTATATCGATAGGGACGAACTGTTATGTGAACTAATAAACTGCACAGCCACCAAACCACTGCAAATACTGGCATTTGCGTCGAGTTTTGGATCCAAACAGCACGGTTAAACATCGCACAGAAACTAAATTGCCATATACAAATATATCGCACATAGCTGTTAAACTGGGGCTCTGTATCTTTGTAGTTTTCTTTTTCTTATAATTCAAAGGGTGTTCTCCAGTGTTTAATAATTGTTTCTGGAGAAAGTTCGGCTGTTGTCAGAGCTTATTTCTAGTAAATCTTCAATTCACCGAAATTCGGTGTTAAATGAGGATTATAAGTTGTTGAGATGTATTGTCAATAATTTTATTTCTAATGAAGATGAGTAGCATTGTTGCCGATAACCCTGTTTTTACCAAGGAGGATTAAAGAAAAAATTGTAGTTTTTTTAATCCTCCTTGGTTTTTACACCCTCTGCTTTTTTTTCTCACATCCTGTTCATTTGCCCTGTTGGTAAACTTAGGCTGTTGATGTGCACTCGCCAAAGTGTATTTTTTGCGGAGCTGAAGTCGGCAGCCCCCTTCATCTATAATTGTTATTTAACTTAGTCTCAACACTCTGAAATCTTTGATGAAATAATATTTCACCACAAAAACATGTGAACACATCAAGTGCATTTTAGATGTCTGGAAGGTTTGAACGTGCAAACATATGTGCTGTGAGACAAAGTCCAGGCCTCAACACTCTTCTCTATTCACACTCGAGCCAGAGCCCGTCTGCCGGAATCCAAGCGCTGATGAGATGACGAATAATATGCATAGTGCTGACAATACGTACAAGCACATATACTTAACTGCAGACACACCTACGTTTGTACTTTAATTACGAGGTTGCTGCCGCTGGGAAATGTGCGCTGTTCAGAGTGATCATTGTCAGCCTCGAAAATGTTCTTTAAACATTGCAAATGCCCTTTTAAGAACGGAGTTTATGAGATAAATCCAAATAACCAGAAATTTTACCGGACACGCAGCATTATGTAAAATCAAGAAGCATTTAAGTACTGCTGCATTGCGTATCGCTTGACTTAGCTAAGCTCCATGACCGACCGACCAACGCAGCAGTTGTCGACATGCCCGGTCCATTCCCAATCACGAAGCGGCGTCACACACCTATATATATATATATATATATATATATATATCATCACGTGCTGAGAATTGATTTTAGCCGTGCGTACGCAAGCAAGCGGGGCGGTGAGAGGTTGGGGTGCTTGCTCAGTGTATAAATACTACGCTGTGTGCAAGCAAGCGAGCTGCCCGTCGGCCCCGTTCTGACAACCCCTCCCCCCTTTCTCTTTCGCATTGAGTGGGGGCGCAGATTTTCGGTTCTTCCCGCGAGGGCGGAAGGCGTACGAATGCTGCGCACCAGTGCAGCTTGCACCCCCCCCCCCCTTCCCCCCCAGCCTCTCTATTTCCGAACAGGGGAAGATCGTATGTGAGCGGGCGAGGTTCGGCGTTGGCGGGGAGGGAGTTGCGGGGACTGCCGGCTGTGCGGATAGTAATGGATCAGCGATGAAATGGCTGCGGACGCCTGCTGTGTGTCCCCCTCCTGTGTGTGTATTTTTTTCTCGATGCGTACAAGAGAAACAGCAGTTGCTTGTGTGGTGGATCGGGGCTTGGATCGTGTTGGGAGGCTACATAGATGGGATGGAGGGCGCAGTGGAAACGTTGGGGAGGGGGGCCAGAAATGTGAGCGCGAGGTGAAGCAAGACATACCACCCCCCTCTCCCTTTCCAGCGCCTCGCTTCGCCGCGGTCCGGTGGTTCGCCGGGGAGGAGCGCCCGCGTTCTCCGCGCGCGAAACGGCCGGCTCGTTCCGCTTCTGCCGCCCGTTAAGCTTGCCACGCACAAAAGGACGGGAAAATACAAAACTAGCCAGAGCAGACGGAAACGCTTCTTTGCTTTTTTACTGTGGCGATCGCTATTGCAAGACATATGCGCGTGCAGTAACAATGCGGTGATTTAGCCTCTGTACGCAACGCACGCTTTGTAATAGTTTCATAGGCCGAATGCGATGATAGACCCAAAAATCCGATAGAAAAATCGCCAACAGTTCCCGTTATTTGAGTGTATTCCTGTTAAGTGATCATATTAGATTTTATTGCATTTTGATAAATAACGTGAAGTAGCCAGTCAGTAAGGTTAAGGGAAAAAAAGTGGGAATTCGAGCTTTGTGACATTACAGCACACATGCAAGTAGATTTACTAATCGCTTCTAATAAAGGGACAAGTGCCACAGGAATAACAGCAATTTTTGCGCTCTGAGCTGTGTACACAGAGATAGTACAGCGAGTGATCCGCTTGGCGATTATTTCAGAACCGACCATTGGATGGTAGCTTTGCTACAAAGTACTGATTTTAACGCGGTTTGCGGCAGAACGTTCAGGAACTAAACAGAACTATTATTGGAAGGTTCCTTGATGCCGTAGAGTTTATATATGGTCTGCAAATGCGGAAACATTCACTCCCACACATACTAGATAAGTTCAGTTTTTTTTTTTCATTGCTGCGATTGCTCTTTCTTTCGCTACAGGACATGTGCAATCTACTTTTAGTTACACGACGCAAGAAAACAAAGAATTTTATTTGTATTTTGTCTATTCTTACTTTATGCATATTTTAAGGAGTGCAGTCTTGTCTACATGCTTGAACTATTTCTGATTGTACCACTTTCAACTATGTATTTGTGTCTGTTTACTTGTTTAGTTGACCTCGTGAATGCTGTCACTTTTTTTTCTGCCTTGTTTTGTTTGGATGCGGGGCTATTCAAGCTAGCTACGCTTGTATCTCAGCTTTTTTACCGCATTTCACACCACACATTGTATCTCTGTTATTACCTAAAAAAAAAATCAATGTGTAGCTTTGAGGTGAAATAAACTTTCAACTTCAAGTATGAAAACTTCATTGATTGATATGTGGAGTTTAACGTCCCAAAACCACGATATGATTAGGAGACGCAAGTATGAAAACTTAAAAGGGCCATAAAACCAAAATAGAGCTGCCAGGTTCTAATTTTCCCTGCTTCAATAAGGATTAGACAAATTGATTCCGAAATATTTTGGCACAATATCTAGTCTATAATTCATGACGCTCTTTAGAAATCGCAGTTTTCTCACGCGACAATGCATACCATGCGGCCCTACCAGCCGCGACAGTCATGGTAAGAGAAGTTATAAACAGAACG